ACAAATGATTCAAACTAGCATTTCTGGTTGTGGGTATCTTCTCAGGCAGGACTTTAGAAGCCTCAGTTGTCACTCTCTCACCTGTGGCGCACACAGGGAAATGTTCACACATGTATCCTTTGTCTTAATAATCAGGAAACACAGCTGATTTCAAAGCAATTTCTTCTCCTTGCCTCTGCCACCAGGCTAGCCACAGTCACTAGCCTTTAGGCATGACTTATCACCAGCCCCTGGGCTCTAAATTCCAGTGGACACAGATCAAGGTCAGGGTTTTAAAATCCTTAACAGAGAAGGAGGGGGAGGAAAAACAGTTATGTTATGGGGAACTTGTACTGCAGACCCTCAAAACATAGCCTCTTGTGTGTGAAGCCTGACTTTATTGAGATATAATTAACAGTGATAGACTGCATATATAAAATATACAATTTGATAGGTTTTGATTTATGTATTTCACCATCACCACAATTGAGCTAAATGAACTTATTCATCACTCTCAAAGTTTCCTTTTGAAATTCCTACACCGGCCCTCTCCTTTCTATTCTCCTGCTCACCCCTAGACAACCACTGATGTGTTTGTCACCTAGATAAGTTTGCATTTTCTAGAATTTTTTTTAAAGATTTATTCATTTTTATACAAGAACCGGGGTACAGGCCAAATGTGCAGGAGGGTGAGAGTATTCACCGGAGTCAGAGCGGGGAACAGAACAGGGAGACTGAAGAAATACACCGCTGAGGGGAGCAGTGGGTGAGACAGGAGAGGTCTGCTGCGCCATGTGGGATTCTCGCCCGGCCGGCCGGAATCAAACCCGCACTGCAGAGGCTGTGGACAGCTTCACGGTGCCACCAAGGAGGCCCTCTAGAATTTTGTATCAATATGGTTTATATTCTTTTTTATCTGACTTTTATTCACTCAGTCTGCTTATTTTGATATGCACCCATGTTGCACCTATCAACAATTCCTTCTTATTGGCAACTAATATTTGATTGTTTAAATGTATACAATTTGTTCCTCAATATATCTTTTATTGGATATTTGGGTAGTTTGCAGTTATTTACTACTACAAATAAGCTCATCTAAACACTCATATGCACATTTTGTATAGACATACACTGTCTTTTCTCTTGGGTATAAACCCCAGAGTGGAGTGGTTGCTGCGTGTTTAACTTTTTGAGAAACTGTCTTATTGCTTTCCAAGGCAGCTGTACCATTTTATTTTCCCACCGCACTGTATTTGAGTTTCAAATCCTCCACACCCTTGTGAACATTTGATCTGATCCCGCCATAATTTTGTCATTCTAAAAGACATATACTGATGTCACATTGTAGTTTTAATTTGCATTTTCTCTAGTGACTAATGAGTCATCTATGCATCTTCTTCAGTAAAGTGAACCCCTTCTGTTATTTCTAACTATTGACACAACATGACTTTTGATCATTTCGTTTTTTTCCTGCGGTACTAGTAGACTAGGACTTTGAAAGTTTTAGGTATATATGCAAAGGTACAAATATATTTGTAGACACACACAATGTATTTGGCTAAGGAAAATGTTTTGCAACATATAACGTTAGAAAATAAAAGCCTCAAAACCAATATAAGCAGTACAGAGCTATTTTCATGGCTGTATCTAACCATAGCGTTTCCCTTTAAACAAAGAAAAGTCTAGAGCCAAACGTTGTGGCTGGGGGCCTAACGGAAATCTTGTTATAGCTGATAGGGCCCTAGCTGAGTGTTCCCCTGGCAACAAGACAGCTAGCCGAAAGATGGTAAGAAAACAAATGTGTCCCCAGCAAAGCAGAGCGCGTAAGTGCCTGGATTCAGAAACCAGGCACATATGGGTTTGAATTTCTTTCAGCTACTGACCCAAATTCTTGGGAATTTGATTAACCTCATTTTCTTTTTTTGCAAAATGGGAATGAAGCTGCTACACAAGATTGTTGTACAAATTAAGTGAACAATTTACATTATATGCAGCTCAGTTCCTGACACTAATAGCACTAATTAAACTCCACCTCTTATTATGAAGGAGGACTTTTAGGTGGGGGTTTTCATCATGAACTCTGGGGCCAGCCAAACTGGGCTAGATCCCCAACCATGGCAATTCCTTGATGTGTGACCTTAAACAAGTCACTTTATTTCTCTGTGCCAGTTTCCTCATCCATAAATCGGAATCATATGGTATAAGTCTCCATAAAATACTAAGAACTTAGTAACAGACAGAAGTGTTTGCTGCCACAGTTCAGTGATCTTCCCCAGTCCCAGTCAGGTACATGTTATAGTGTCTTAACTGTGACTAGTACTTACTTCACTCACACCACTCAAACAACAGCTTTTTATAGAGCTCTATTATGCCCAAGCCCTGAACCTGGTAACAAAGGGATTTAAAGCATCAGGAAACACACTTTTCTGGCCCCAAAGTTCACAAACCCTGAAACAGGAAGCATGGTCAACAACTTGAACCACTATGGCATGTGGCTATTGCTAAACACCTGATGCAAGTAGATGATAGAGAAATTCAGAGGCAGAAGGTCTACAATGGGAGTGAGGGAAGTACAAAGATTGAGGGGAGCTGGCTTTAAACTGGATCTTAAGCAGAAATAAGAATGAAGAGGCCAAAAGACAGGGAATGGAGACTTCAGCCTTGGGGGTGAGTAAGCCAGAGGAGGGGACAGAAGCAGGATGGTCTTGTGAGAGGGCAGTGTGACAGAAGTGGAAGGCAGACAATGGAGGAAAGAGTTAGGTGGGAGCTAGTTTGTGAAGGGCCTTAATGCCAGGCTATTACACTGATATCTAAACTGCTGACAGTGGGGATTCAAGCAGCATATTGGAAGTTTTTAACCTTATTGATAAGAATAAGTCATTTATGAAGTCAGAATCCCTGAAGTTGAGGCTCAGCCCTATGTTCAAAGAACAAATACCACAGGTAATTTTGACATGGACCAAGAGTTGAAAAACCACTGCTACATAGCCTTTAAAACCTGGGTTTCTGCAATGGCTTATTTGGCGGTGGGGTCAGAAGAAAGAAAACCGGCGTTTGTTGAGCTCCAACCTAGGCAGAATGACTAACCGGTATCATTTCCTTTAATTCCATACAAAACCCTATGAGGGAGACATTATTACCCTCACGGTAGGGATAAAGAAGTTGATACTCAGAGATGCCGAAAATGTTGTTAAACCACAGACCAGCGATTCAGATCCAGGTTCCAGGCTTCAGGATCACTGCATTTCCCACTGTAGCACGTGACCACCCCACAAACACCTGTGAGCAATTGACACAGGTCAAAGTCAATTAGCAAGATGTGGTACATATACACAATGGAATATTACTCAGCAATCAAAAAAGATAAACTCATGCCATTTGCAGCAACATGGATGGAGCTGGAAGGGATTATGCTCAGTGAAATAAGCCAGAAAAAAAAAGAAAAATACCAGACTGTCTCACTTATAGCAGGGATATAGATGATCCAAATAAGGGATCAGGGAAAAAACATTATAATAAAGTAAAAATAAAAATCAACAGGCAACTGTAAATCAGTGACATATTATGGGGGAGAAGGGAGTAGGATCAAAACAAGGGTGGGAAGAGCACAAGGGACCATCGTGATAGTTCGCGGGTGAATGGGTGGTGGAATTTTACGGGGACTATAACCAGGATGAAAATGCACACATTGCACAAAAATGAAAAATGATGTAAAAAATATATAAAATAATTTTAAATAAATAAAAAGTTAAATCATAATTGTCTTACATTCTCTCTGGGAATCTCTCCCTCTCTCTTAAAATTAAAGGAGGAATAAGAAAGTGGGTTACAAGATGAAAGACATTGAAAGTCAATCTACTGAGAGAAAGAAACCATGAATTTAATACATTAAAAATGAAAAATTAAACAGGGAAATTTTGTAAAAGAAAAAAAAAAGGCAATTAGTAAATGTGGTGTCATAAACACTCTTCTCCCCTCTGCATTTCTCTCTTCCAATGGCATCTAAATTTTACTTTTCCTTTGCCCTGAAACTAAGTCAACATCAAGGGCTATCATTTCAAAGTAGCTTATTCTTTAAGCAAGCTAAATTGTCTTTTTTATAACTTGCACTATTTCCTCACTTTCTCCTCCACAGGTATCCTGGGTATATGCTGAGTACCCTTTCTTTTTGGTTTTGAACAGTCTTCAAATTAAATTGACAGCTTGTATGTTCTTTTGTCCACATCACTGAGGGAAATGTCTGTCACTCTGAGACTCAGACCCATGTGGATATACCTGTTATTATGCTTTTCCTATTACTTTGGCTTGATTTCTAAGCCAAAGAGGTTCATATGTACTATTTACACCTATACTATAAATTTCTATTTTGGCAAGTGAAATCAGTTGTACATATTAGGAAGTCAACAATATTTTCATTTCTCTGCAGGCTACCATGTACAGTATCACAGATTGTATAATGCAAATTCCAAGGAGTGACAGTCACCTAGACTACTGTGAATAGTGCCCGCCGGAGTTGAGCAGTGCACATACTGCGCAACCATACATAGAGATCTTTTAGTAGGAAACTTATTTTCCCCTAATGTAAACAATTTTCTGTATCCATGTTAGTTAATGACCAGATATGAATTTCTTTGTTTGCCTTAATGTTGTAATCAAGGTCTAATAAAATCAAAAATTAATGAACAGGCTATTCATATCTCTTCCTAGTCCCTAAACCATATCTTTATTTTCCCAATATTTTTATAATTTCCTAATATAACCAACTTGGTTGTTGTTTTTTTAAAAAAAAAGACAGTTATTTGGATGATTTGGAGATGAAAGTTAGCCTTACTTGCAGTAAGTGAAAGTGGGTTGGAGAATCACAGAATCATTCATGGGAGGCAAAATGTCAGAGTCATCACAACAAAAAGACAGTAAACACAGTCATGTTTATTTCAAAACATAAAGTTGACTACTTATTAATAAATACTTTAAACATTGGAAACTTTTTAGTATCTTAGATAAATACTAAAGATAATCATTTTTTTAAAGATTTATTTATTTATGCATACAAGAACTGGAGTACAGGCAAGAGATGTGGAAGGTGAGAGGATTCACCAGAGGCAGAGTGAGGAGCAAAACAGGCAGATCTAGTAAAATACACTGCTAAGGGGAGCAGCCTGCGAGACAGGAGAGGTCTGCTACGCCATGTGGGTCACCTCCCTGGCCAGGTGATCGAACTCATGCTGCAGTGGCTGTGGATAGCTTCATAATGCTGTGTCTTAACACTTTGCACCACCAAGGAGGCCCCTAAAGATAATCTTTATAGAGATCTTTATGCCAGAGATAGTTAACTAATGAATGAGTTTACTAAAACAATCTGAGAGTAGGAATAACTTGTGAATGTTCTATGCAATTGCAGGAGGGAAAAAGAGGAGTTAATAAAATCAGGAAGGAGTTTCTATTCTCCTCCCTGAGGAGGAGTTTTAAATTTAAAGTTTTAAATCTAGTATTGGAAAGCACACCATCATTCACATGCCTGGTTGAATGGGTGCCTTCTTTCTCAATTTATGATTAGAATCACTAATTAGTAGAAATGGTCAAAAACTGGAAACAGATACACAGTTTGAATTAGGTCAGACCCCTCTGGTTTATAATGGGTCAGTTAGACCCCTTGGAAACTGAACAGAAGCTGCTACAACTTGTATTTGAATCTCTGGCATGGCCACAATGTCACTGACTGGAGAACTGAAGGTTCTACACAACTCTGATGGCCACCACCATGAACACCATCTTAAGTCTTTTCAGTGGTGTCTTTGTATCAATCCATACCCAGCCAGAGAGCCTAAGGTCCAGCCCCTGCACCTTCTGGTGCTGGGGGAACACACATAGCTGCCAGGCCCCTCCTTCATGGAGAGAAACCATGAAGAGAACCCATCTGGTCACTTTTTTGGTAAACACTCAAATGAAATGAATCTCACAAATTTGGAGATTATCCCCCACCCCAATTGTAATATGTGGCAAACAAAGGGACAGAGAGTTTTCTCAGCTAAACCTCCAGTAGGAATGGAATATTCTTGGCTGACTTCGGGACCCTTATCTACTCCTGGCTTACTCAGGTCTTTTTCTCAAAAGATATAACTTTTCAGGCTGGAGTAAGTAAAAGAAGGCTTCAACAGCAAAGCCAACACTGCAGCACTGGGCTCTCAAGAAGTTTCTGGATAAACTGAGGAAGGAAGAAGTGAGTTCTTCATTTTGATACATGCTCTCCTGGCAAAGGGCAAGAGAAGACAAGAGAACCTGGGGGATTTCATGTCCATGGATATTAGAATCACAGTGGGGCTTTTGGTTTTTAAACTAGAGAGAACTTTAGGGATCTCCTGGTTCAACTCCTTTGTTTTTCAGAAGAGGACCTGCTTGCCTGGAGAGGCTAAGCAGTGTCCCAAGGCTACACAACTTGTTATATCTATTTGGTGGACACAAAGAGTGGCAGAGAGGTTTCGGTGAACAATGTAATCAGCACACGTGGTTAGTTACATTCGGATCTCCTGCAGATGGAGACTTCCCACCCTTGGGCCCTTTCTTATTGATCTGTCACCAGAAGTGGGCAGCTGCTGGACCGAGTTTATCTGTGGGCTTCCCTCAGGTATGTGATGAAGTTCTACAGGTTTATCTTCACTTCCCAGTCCGGGAGGCCACCTGGATGGCTTTGATCCACTCGGTACGCTCTTTTGGAGTGGCCGCTTGCAAAAAATAATGAACTTCATCAGCCGTGATGATCTCAAAGAGGTTGTCTTCTTCACTCCTCTTAACTGGTAAAAGAGAAAGTGAATGTTGGTGCATGGGCACAGACCCCAGAAAGGATATCTAATTCACATTTCTACAAGGAATGAAATCCCAATGTTTTGAGTGTTCTACAAGAATTAAAGATATGGTTTTCAAGCTGACCATTGTGGTATGACTATATATATATATATATATATATATATATATATATATATATATGTGTGTGTGTGTGTGTGTGTGTGTGTGTGTGTGTATATATACACACACACACACACACACACATAAACATAGATGTGTGTATATATATATATATATATATATTCTGTGCATAACCAAATATACAGTATTTATATAGTAGGTACATCATATGATCATGTCTGTATGTATGTGTTCTTAAGAAATAAGTTAAACACTCTTTTTTAACAGGTTAAAATCAAATGAAATTTGGCACACCAATCGTATTTAATGAGTAACTCCTAATAGTGTCTAACAAGTACCTTTTCTCTATTCATAATATAAACCAAGGACTGACCTTTAACTTAATTTAAAAAAAAAAAAAAGGCCAACCACCAAAATCCAGCTACCAGTAGAACCTGAACTGCGTTAAGCGAGGGCTAAGTTGGAGTTTCTGCTCAAAGTCTGAAAAGACTTAAAACATCCATCTCAAAGAAAAGACAAAATTCTCCCTATCCCAGAACTAAACAGGAGGGGAGTCGGCAGATCCAGAGCTGTAAATATTTAGGTTTTTGCAGCATTAGTGTTTTCCTGTCAATCTCTATAGCATCATAAATCTAAAAATGACAAGACAAAACCAGGGATTGGAGATCCAAACCATATATCCCCAGTGATACCTTGTTCCCTACAGTTGAGAAGTCAGTCTCCACCAGTATGGTAATTCCAAGCACCAAGTCACAGACTTGTGATATGGGGTCACCTGGTCTGACCTTCCTACTCCAAGAAGAGGAATGAAGACCCAGACTAGTTAGGAAATTCATCCCAAGTCATCTGCTAACCAACAATCACAGCCCCACCTCACATGCACTATCCACTGACCATATTGTCTCACCAAACAAATGTCCTTTTTATTGTGGGATGTTTTCTGGTGTGGATATGCAAGAGACTCCCTTTAAGGTATGACATGTTTTAAGTACAGGCATCAGGAGATAACCAGTCTTTCCATCAAAGCCAGGGATGAGGATTTTTTTCAGCAGTGCTCAGGGACTTACTCAAGGTATGCACAAAGCCACTTTAACCTCTCAAGGGGCAACATTTCTAAAGTTCTCAGACTGAATTCATGCATGCTTATGCCTGATTGATTGAGTGAATAATTGATTGCCATTGGCTTAGGATGCCCAACTATGGGGAGATGACCCTGAGTGAACACATTTCTCTCACACAAAAAATTCACTCCTACCATCTGGGTTGCTTTCCACTGAAGTCACCACACAGCCTCTCAAGTGTACTGCGCCCAGAGGATCTTCCCCCTGGAAGAGAGAGGAGTCAGTTGTTTTCTTTCTAAAGTACAATATATGGATATACCTTATCCTGCAGGTGCAAACTCTACACAAAGTCACGCTGATACAGATCAAAATCCCCCAAATAAATAAAGGCAGAGGGAAATGAAAGGAAAGCGCTTCCAGATCCTCCACCCTCCACTTCAGTAAGGTCAGAAGGCTGGATAAGGAGATGCAAATCAATCTGAGCTTCATCTGGAAGAAAGTAGGAAAGACAGAGGAGCGGCTGAGGGCCTGCCCTCTCTGAGGGAGGGGCTACATGTTTGGGGCCCCACACAACTGACACAGCAGTATAATCCTCACAGGCAGAAACCAAAGAGCCCTGTGCTGCAAGCAGAGGCTAAGGTTCCAACGCAGACAGTTATCTTTACACTTCAGAGTTTGCTCATTTTATTGAGGAGAATCCTGACTAACCAAGAGTCTAAATGACTAAACTTAAAGAATGCTCTCATCCAAGTTGACCTGAAAGAATAATTATCACTTTTTTGCACTTTAAACAAAGAGCAAAGTGTTGTAATGATTGAGTTTTCCTGAAAATATCAGATTGAGGCAAACAAAAAAACTCAACCAAATAAATGCCAGTGGAGTGTATCTTCTTCCATCCCTGACTTTATGCTGGTCTTAACACTGAGATCTCAGTTCAAGGAGGGTGGGAGAAAATGGGAAAGGAGGCAGGAGAGAAAGAAGGATACTGAGCAGAAAGGAGGTAAAAAGGAAACCTAGCGAGGAGCTGCAGTGGAGGCTTCCACTCCAATAAAGTCTTCAACTCACTCCAGCGGGGTCATAGTAGTGCAGATACGCAGGGTCTTCTCTCAGAATGAACTTCCTCACTTTCCAGTTTTTCCTCCTATGCCCCTGTATCCAGGATCAACACAAAAGAAGCAATAATGAGTTCTTAGTATCACTCAGTACACATACTACCTATGATATATCTGCTGAATTGAAAAAGATGCACTAACAATGTGCTAAGACACAGTGGGGAATTTACCAAGTGAAACTATTGCTAAGATTATTTTCCAGCTTGAGTATTCTGTAAAACAGTACTGTGCACAACGGACTATCTTAAGTTATGGGGGTCATGGGGATCTAAAGGGGTTTAAGACATGTCTCTGCTTTCAAAGGGTTAATAACTTATGTGGACATATAAAACAACAAATGTCCAAATCAAATCATTGGTACAGATAACAGTTATAACAGTTTTCTTTCTTTTTTTTTTTTTTTTTTGGTTTCAAAATTACTTTTATGAAAAAGAACATTTGTCGTTTTTGTTTAAAATCTTGATTTATCACATTCTGAGCAGAATTTGATGCGGTGTTTTTATTTTACCTAACAGAATGCCTTGCCTGTAGGCAAACAGAATGTCAGATTAAAACTTTCAATACTCTGGGGCAAAATCTGCCGCTTTTAATAAGAGACGAAGACTCATTTGGATCTTTTCAAACATTATACATTATACAAACAAACCGAGTGTCCGTTTATCATGTTCATTGCTTTAATTTGGGGTGAATGGTATTGGGAAAGGAGAGGGCTGCAGGGGCACATGTGGCCTGCAGTGAGCCATAAAGTAAAAGGTCATGATGAGGATTCAGTGTATTGATACAAATAAAGCGCTTAGCTGAGGACTGGGCATATAGAAAGACTCAACCAAGGTGAACTTTTTTGAAAAGACAGATGACCTCATTGATACTATCTCTTTGTGAAGCCTTCTACTTCATTTTTCTAGGAAACCATTTGCATAAAGTGGTACATTTGTCAACAATATCCATTTGAAATCTTGGCTACAAATGAAAGAAGATGGAGTTAGACAAGTACCTGCAAGAGCAAGTGCCTCTGCTGACAGATCCTCAGACAACAGTTTTCAAAGGAATTAAGTGAAGTGCATATAAGTATAGGTTTGGTGTCAAAAAAAACCCTCATAGGGCCTCCTGGGTGGCGCAGCCATTGAGCGCTGGCCTGAGAAGCTGCCCACAGCCTCTGCAGCGCCGGTTCGATCCCTGGCCGCCGGGCGAGGGTCCCAAATGGCGCGCAGACCTCTCCTGCCACGCCCGCTGCTCCCCTCAGCAGTGTACTTCGTCAGTCTGCCTGTTCTGCTCTGCTCCCGGCTCTGTCTCTGGTGAATTCTCTCACCCTCCCTCGCTTTTGACTGTACCCAGTGCTTGTATAAGTAAATAAATAAATCTTTAAAAAAAAAAAAAACCTCATAAACATGTATTCATGTGGGACACACAGGAGTTAGGTGGATGACAAAGAGTTAGATTGGAAAACTATTGACAGCAAACAGCAGCAGTGTGACTACACAAAGCATTTTCAGAGGCTGAGGACTAAGCCCAGCTGGGCTGGGATACAGGGTTCATGAAGAACAACAGAGGCCAAGTTAGAAGAGTGGAAGGAGATTTGGCAAAAATAATAGGTGGGGGCAGTCATTGATGGCTTCTGAGTCAGAGCGAAAAGATTACAACCACACTTTAGGAAAATTAATATGGTGACAACATACAGGATGGACCAGCAGAAGAGGTTCAAGTAAGTTGGGGAGAAGATAATAAAGTAATAAAGTAATAAATAAACAAACAAACAAATAAATAAATAAATAAGAGGTCACACTTGAAATAATAAGCATAAATTAGTAAGGACTAACATCCAGTAACAATCCAATGGAAATGGGAAAGAAGAGTGCATGTGACAGTCCATGATGTAAAAAAAAAAAAAAACAGACATGGCCCTTCCCAGTAGAATTAAACCTTGGCATAGCCTTGACTGTGAGTTTTGAGGGGCAGAATTTGTGTCTTGTTTATCACTGTTCCTTTGATGCCCAGCACTGTGCCTGGCACACAGACACTGCTTCCTAACTGTTTATAATTGCTGTGAATTACAGTTATTTCAGTTAGGTTATAGCAGTTTTTTTAAAGTCATGGTAAACCAAGATTTCCCACAGAAAATTCTAAAAACTTAAAACTTCAGAAACAAACAAAAATTAGATTAGAAGATGTATAGCAATAGTTTCTACCTGGTCAATACAATGTTGCTATTTCTAAATCACCATATATTGACAGACACAGAAGAAATTTTTCAAAATTTTTCATTATGCTTGTATAGAAAGGAATGAAACATTTGTGATTTTAGTAAATAGTGACTCCTTCCAAATGCTAGGTCAGAGGAGTTTAAAGGAAGCTAAGGAATGGAGCTGTTTTTTGACTGAGCATTTAGTCTAGGAAGTCATCTCCTAAGAGTCTTTTACTTACCTCCTAAGAGGAACCCTGTTTATGACTCTGTGGGAGAATAGAAAATTCTTCTATCTACTGTATCATGTCCAGAATAGCCTTTGCAACACATCAACTTCTAAAATTCCTTTAAAAAATCTCTATTTTTTTTCCTTAGATAACATTGCCCATGAGATAAGGACTGCCTCTTACCATTTCCTCCTGACCTGCAGATGCCTATGTCATGTTCTCTTATGCATTTCCTGGGTGAATACCAAGTCATCATGAGTCAATGGAAAAGGAAGGTAACAGGAAGATGTGAAATCAGCCAAACTCTGACTAATCGGCCTATACCCTTCACACCCTTACTGACATCACAATGTGATGCAACCAAGAGCCTGATATTACTAAGTGCACGTCTGGCATCTTTCATTTAATGAGTATTTCCTGAGGAATTTTAAGGAAAGTGTGCATGCCTGGGGTTTCCAAGAATTGTTGCTGAGCCATCACATACTTATACTTGATTTAATTCACGTTACAAATGCCCATCGCCAATTATACACCAAGAAGGACACTGAGCTTTCCCTAGATACAAGAAAAGCATACAGATGACCCTTGAACAATACAGTTTGAAGTGCCCTTTTATGTGGATTTTCCTATAAACAGACAACATAAACTTATATTATAGATCAATGCAGTACAGACTGTAAACTATTTTCTCTTACCATTTTCTTTATAACATTTTCTTTTCTCCAACTTATTTATAATAAGAATACAGTATGTAATACAGGTAACATACAAAATAGATGTTATTTACGGTACTGATGAGGCTTCCAAACCACAATAACTTATTTGTAGTTAAGTTTTGGGGAACTCAAGGTTATGTGCAGGTTACTGCTTACCCTTAATCCTTGAGTTATTCAAGAGTCAACTGTATAACACACTGTCCCTATTGGGGGACAGTATAGGCCATTCCCAACATATACTACTTTGACATGTGGATCATTTTGAGCTAAAGGCCAAGTAGGACTCAGTGGACTCAGGAGGGTTTTTGTTACCACTCCCTTAACAACATAACAAGAAATTAGATTAGGGGCCTGTTTCAGGAAGTAAGATATTATCACAAACAGCTACAAAGAGTATGGGCTAAATGTGGTAGATGGGAGGATGATCGCAAGGCCTATTTGTTCAAATTCCTCTGTGTCTCATTGTCTGGCATGGCAAACATTTTTTTACCAAATCATTTGCTATTCCACCTTCCAATAAATTATCTTCCTCCCCTTTAAACTCTCAGGCCCTCACCCTTTCCCGCCTAGTTAGGATGGCATATAGACCCCACTTTCTTGGCTATCAGAGAATAATATGTGTCTTTGTGGGTTCATCATATTTAGGAAATTAAATTTGGGTAGGAATTTTTTTCCTCTCCTATGTCTCCATCAAAGAAGGTACATGTTCTTGACAAAAGTAAGTATTTTATTCATTGTCGTAACAGAATGAATTATATTTAAAAGGATGATATATGATATAATCCAGTCCATTCCTTCTTGAATTCACTATGTCCCCCAAGTACAATTATCTCCCCTGGGAGGGAGAAGTGGTGGGGAAGAGACCACTCTCCAGTTGAGCACATCTACTTCCCATCTGCAAGGTATGGGGCACAGGTGTCCTTTTTCATGCCAAGCCTTCCATGCAGGCTAATCCTGGCTAACTCCCAATACTAGACACAAGAAGGTTTTCCTTTTTTTTTTTTTTTTTTTCTTGTGGGACGCTCGCCGGTGGCCAGGGATCGAACTGGCACTGCAGAGGCTGTGAGCAGCCTCGCAACCCAGCGCTCAACCGCTGCGCCACCAGGGGAGGCCCAAGAAGGTTTCCTTTTTAAGGTTCTAAAAGAGGACTTTTTAAAAAATTTCCCCAGGTGATTATAGTATGAACCAGGGTTATAAACCACTGAGCTAAGAGATTTGGAAACTTGAAAGGAACTCAATTCAAATAGAAGAAGTTTTTGTTCCTTGCCCCCTAAAAAAAATTTAGCACAAAGAATATTGTTAAAGAACAGAATTCCTGAATGCATGGATATTTGCTTTCTACATGTTAAAAGGAGGCTTTATAAAGGTGACTTTCAACAGCGGTATTTTGATAATAGGATAATTCACTTTGAGGAAAAGACTAGCATTTGGTTCTCAGCCCTGGTTACATAATGGAATTGCTTAGGAAGCACTAAAATGCAGAAACTGGTTTAAATGGCCTGGATCAAGTTTTCTGAGTTTTCTAAGGATTAAAATGTACACCAACTAGACTAGCTAAGGCTAAAGTGTACCTATCAAAGCCAGGTAAAGAAAAGTTAGAAAAACCTAGAAGTTGTTGTAGTCCCTATTATCTTCACCACAGCCTCAGGCACCCATCACTCTCAGCCAGTTTTTGATCATCATCTCAACTGTATCACGAAGTCCTTCCTTTTACAAGTCATTAAATGCACAACTTCGGATCTTCCCTCCAGGTCTGTCCCATGAATCACTCAGAGGGAAGTTTAGGGTCCTAGTGTGAGGTAAGTCAAATTTTCCAGTCCCATGGGACACATGGACTGTGCACAGAAATCTCACAGAGCCAGGCTTCCTCTGTTCATAACTGAGCAGCGCCTTTAAGACATCTCCTGGCATGGCCAGGAAGGCAAGACCTGGGCTCTATATAAAGCAGCTCTGGGGCGAGGCAGACCTCTCCTATCACGCCCGCTGCTCCCCTCAGACTTGCTTTTGGTCTGTTTGCCTGTTCTGCTCCCCGCTCTGTCTCTGGTGAATCCGCTCACCCTCCCGCACCTCTGGCCTGTAACCCAGCTATTGTGTAAATAAAAAATAAATCTTTTTAAAAAACAAATAAGTAAAGCAGCTCTGGGGTCTGCCATCAGGTGCTGGTATCGGTTTGTTTCACCCTGAATATTCCCAGGTCTTCCGGTTACTTCTTCCTCTACTAGGTGTCTGTCCTGGCTTCCTCGCTCAGCTCCAGCCCTTGTACTCTCTTATTTCTGGGCATCATGTGCCTGGGCTTCTGGTCACTAAGTAGAACTTTTCAGCTCACCCCAGTGCTAGCCTCCAGACTGACTGGGGTCTGTATAAATGGATGCTTGGTAACTGATATGACCACTCCCCCAGGTCTGAGTCTTTGTCCTCAGGACTTGACCATTCTCTTTTTGCTGCTTCTTTAGAGTTGACCACAGGCAAGCCTTGGTTTTTGGTCTCATTGTATCTTCTGCACAAACTGGATGATGCTTCTTGCCTCTTGTGATGTTCATCTCACTCACGTGGTCTATTGCTGTTTCCTGGTTACTTTGCAGGGAAGAGAGATAAGCAAATGGAAGTACTTTTGCTATGAAACATCTCTGTCTTTTGGATGACATCTTCATCAATTTTTCTCCAGCTAACAAAAGGGCAATATTTTCCTTGAAGCATGATTTCCCATAATTTTGAAAACAGATGAGTTTCCCTAATTCAAGTTGCATCTTCTGCCCTGTGGCCTTGGTCCTCCTGGCCTAATGCCACTTTGATCATCTACTTAGCTATTTGTCAGTCTTTCCTTCTGTGGGTTCTTTTTTTTCCTAGTTGACTACTAGTCAAATAAATGAAACACCATTTGGTAATTCAGAAATAGAAAGAACCTGATGAGGAGTAACGCTTAGAAAAGAATAGAGGTGGCCACTCACCTGCTTCAATAAACACCCCTGCTTAATAATGACCCCTCTGAATTCTTCTTTCAGAATCACATCATCATCACTGGAATTTTCTTCACAGAAAAATCCACTGTCTGGCTATTGGGAAACCAAACACAAGTTTATTTTACCAGTTGAAGGCATATCACTACTTTTACGGTCTATACCTCTCCCCCACCTCCAGTCACTGGGTCGGTTCTTCTTTCCTCTGTGGTTCACATTCCAACCTGAACTTCCAAAGCTGTCCTTGGTTAGCTTATTTCCCCTCCTCCTTTATCTTGTTTTTAGACGCTTGTTTCTGATTTCTAGATGCTCTCTTTACTCCACTCAGGTGTGATCTTGTCAATATCCTTTCATTTCTATATGTTCCCCAAGCTATATTCTAAGTTTAGCTCAGGACATTTCTTCTTCCAAAAGTTTCTTTCTCTTGGGACTTCATGGCCACAACCTTTGAGGGCAGGTTTGACCAATTTATAAGACACTGCACAATCTATCTCCGTTATGACCACTGTCTCTCAGCTACTTCTACTTCGAGTCCAAGAGCATGTATCCAGCCTCATCCTCTAAGATCAGGAGGGAATAGAGGTGTGCACAACTATATGCAGAAATAAATCATACAGAAGAAGAGGAGCCTCTGTGGTGGGTATTTTTAGAATCCCACAACCAGATTAAAGGCCTGAAAAAAAATTACTGCCAGTAAAACTTCCCCCAAAATGAAATGAAACTCTCTCTGGGACAGTCACTTAGTTTTGTAAGCAGGATGGTTCTCTTAAGTAGCTTCCTAACTTTTGTGTTGGACCACAAATAGAAACAAAAAAACTACCAAATTCCCCCTAGAAATCCACTGTTGCTGGATTTCCCCTTGTGAGGAAATGGACCAATATCAGTTCCATATTGAATAATACAATGTTCCTCAATTTGTGGTCAGCCTATCATGGGAAGTACACAAGATGATTGGGAGGTGACATGACTGAACACATTTTCTACTGAGTCACATATTTTAAGGTATATTTGGAAAAAATACAATCACTCTGTGATTATATGACTCTCTCTCTATAAAAAGGAAACTCTAGGAGGGTTGCAATTTTTACCTGTTGTTTTTTTTCACTGTGGTATATCCTCTGACTAGGAGAATGCCTGGCATGTATTAGAGGCTAATAAATTTTAATAAATGAATTCTTGCTTAGGATAAAAATAGGTATGGCTATGGAAAACACTCATCATCACTTATTATTAGGGAAATGCAAATCAAAACCACAATGAGTTATTACCTCACACCTGTGATGATACATTATATCAAAAAGACCAGAAACAAGTACTGGCAAGGGTGTACAAAAAAAAAAAAAAAGGCCCTTGCATATTGTTGGTGGGAATATAAATTGGTGCAACCTTTATGGAAAACAGTATGGAGATCCTTCAAAAGTTTAAACTAGACCTAGCATATAACCAGCTATTCCACTTCTTAGGTATCTATCTTGAGAAAATGAGAACACTAATTCAAAAAGATACATACACGCTGATATTTACTGCAGCATTATTCACAATAGCTAAGATATGGAAACAACCTAAGTGCCAATTGACAGATGATTGGATAAGGGAGATGTAATATATATACACAATGGATACCACTCAGCTATAAAAAAAGATGAAATCTTGCCATTTGTGACAACATGGATGGAACTGGAGGAGATAATGCTAAGTAAAATAAGTCAAAAAGAGAAAGACTCTGGATGGTGTCAATCACCAATGGAACATAAAGAAATAAAACAAATGATCAAACTAAAACAACCCTTAATCTCTGATAACAAAATTGTGGTTACCAAAGGGGAAAGAGTAGAATGCAGAATGAAGGATGAATGGGTTTAGGGGGTTGACTGGCTGTTGGTGGGAGGGGGGTTATTAGAACTTTGGTATAGGGTGTGGTAGAGCAGCAGACATTTGAAGGGATGTGAGGTCATACTCCTAAAACTTAAAGCGTTGTAAACCAATGGTACCTCAATTTAAAAAAAATTGATATATTAAAGTTTAAGAAATATATGTATAGACAGCTATTCTTATAAATAAACAATAGTTTCTTTTAACCTGATTCAATTGGATGTAGCAGGCATTGTGGAGGGGGACAGCAGTCAAGTTGAGAGTTGGGGTGTCTCCTGGTTCTCCTCATCTGACATGTCTTTCCTTCCCTCCATCCCCCATTATCTAACAACTCTCTGAATGGCTGAGCTCTTTCTTTTACATGTGTGGATATGACCTGAAATCAATCTGTAATCTGCCCGGTGCAGCTCTAAGACAAAGAGCATAGATGGGTAGCTCCTTTAGCTTACAAAGTAGTAGAAGGCATCAGGGTTGTCCAGAAAAGGGTGCTCAGCTGTCCCATCTGCTGCACTCTTGGACAAATCTCCAGCAGGCTGCAGATACCCTTCGTTGAGCAGTGAGGAGGCAATCATGAGACCTTCTTGGCGATTCCTAACAGACTGGTTAGAAACCAGCCAGTCAATGACACAGGTACCTAGATGGGACCATGGGAAAGAAGGTTACCTCTCCATACCAAAGAACAAGCCATTGACAGAGGACCAAAGTGTCTGGCTTATCTAATCTTCCTTGTTATTTCAAGAAGGAAAAACAGTCAGTGGGATAGATAACAAGAAACAAAAGGATCCACGTAAAGGTTTTTGCTATTGTTGTTGTGATACCTATATGCTTCTTAAGGAACAACACATGCATCAAAGAAATAGTTTTTACTAACCCACTTATTTATTTCATTAACAAACATTTATTATGTGCCTACTAGATACTAAGTACTATGATGGATATTGGGGAGGCTTGCTCAGGCAGTCTAAAGGGAGAGATGGCTGACAAGTAGGTGTTGTAATAAGACCATAGCTGTGGGTCACTGCAATGAAGCTACTGGGTCAAATCTGCATGATGGGCGGGCAGGGGAAAGGGAGTTGTGTGTGCACTTTGGGACAAGATCCATAGAGGAAGTGACATTGAACCCACGCTTAAAATGAGTAGATGTTTGCCAAGCACATGGGGCAGTAGCTGAGAGGAACCAACACAGGCTGAGGGTGCAGTGTGAACAGAGGCACATAGGCAATGAAGCAGCCCCAGTGCAGAGTGGGGGTAGGAGAAAGCAAAAGAGACAAAAGGGAGAGGAAGGCAGAGAGTGAATGAGGAGAGCTTTGATGACACATCAAGAAATTTGGTAACGTGGGCCTTCCCGGTGGCTCAGCAGTTGAGCGCTGGGCTGTGAAGCTACCCGCAGCCTCTGCAGCACCTGTTCAATCCCCGCCACTGGCGAGGTTCCCACATGGCTCGCAGACCTCTCCTGCCAAGCCCGCTGCTCCCCTCAGCAGTGTATTTCATCCGTCTGCCTGTTCTGCTCCCTGCTCTGGCTCTCGTAAATTCTCTCACCATCCCGCGCTTCTGACGTAAATAAATAAATAAATAAATCTATCTTTAAAAAAAGAAACTAAACAAATTTGGTAATGAGGCAAGTTTCCCATCAGGAAACAGGAAACAACAATCAGATGTGTATTTTCTAAATTAAAATTTTATATCACAGTTGTACTGAATGTCACACCTTGGCAGAGGCCAGCAGGCACCTTGAGAAGCCAATCAAGTTTCTGCCTCAAGAGTGGATTGCAAAGAAAATAAAATGAAATTAACACATCAGTTGGATTATTAACAGACTAAAATGCAGCTTTGTGTTAAAAAGGCATTTATTTTCTTTACAAATGTAGTCAACTAGAGAGTCAATGTGACAGCCAGCAAGTTCCCCATCATCAAAGCAAAAGCAGTAGTATGTGCCATCCTTGAAGAGGAGTGAGAGCAGCTGATTGATGAGCCTTCCGTGAATTCTATCTATGAATAGCTATTGCCGAATTTTATTTCTCGAAAGATAAATGGATACTGTATTTCTGCTTTTTTTTTAAGATTTAATTTTATTTATACAAGAGCAGGGGTATAGACCAGAGTCTCAGGAGGATGAGAGGATTCACCAGAGACAGAGTGGGGAACAGAACAGGCAGACTGACTGAAATACACTGCTGAGGGGAGCAGCAGGCAAGACAGGAGAGGTCTGCCTCGCTATGTGGGATTCTCCCTGGCCAGCCGGGAATTGAACTGGTGCTGCGGAGGCTGCAGACAGCTTCACAGCACGGTGCTCAACCCGCTGCGCCACCAGAGAGGCCCTGTATTTCTGCTTTTAATTCTTACCATGACCCTATAAAAAAGGTAGAGCATTCTTATTATCCTAAGAATGAGAAAGTTAAGACTCAGAAAGTTTAAGTCATTTTAGGCATGAGTTCTTACGTTGTGCCTTCACCTAGATTCCATGTTTGTTTAGCTACGCATGCTATAGCTTGAAAGACAAGTTTATCATGGTCTCCCTGTCTCTTGATATTCAACGTCCAACACATGTCAAAAGTGACTAGTCCCAGTCTCAGCTGTAGATTTGTTTACCCTACTGAGACCAACCAACATCCACATGAAAGTTCCATTCTTGGGAATTTCAAAAACTCACCCTGAACTTCAACAGGATGAACTTAGGAAGTCTATCACAACTCTCCATGACTCAGAAGCCCATTACACAAGAAATACCTGGCCTGGACCTTGTACCCAGATCTATACTGGAACCTCCCCAATTCTCACACTCAAGGCTTTGCCTTGGAGACCTTAGTTCTGCTAGAGTTAGGACCTTTGTTTTGTCAGTTTTCCTTGCCACTGCTCATGGCTTGGTGTCTTGATATACATCTCAGTCTTGATTTTTCTGGTGCTAGTGGGCCAATGCCTTAATTCTTTGAAGTTGAATTCCCGTAGAACAGTACCCTAATATCCCAAACTATGTCTATTACCTTCAACGTTCTTAGTCTTGACCTAGACCATTTTTATGTATTATCTAGTAATCGTGCATCCCTTCAGATTCTATATCTGTGGTCTTTTCGGCATTTTCCTCCCTTAAACTTTCCTGTCACCATAAGTAAGGTACTAGGCAGCTGACAAGCTTAGTACTAGTATGTACATCCCATTTTGCCCCCTAATGAGCCACCAGCCCTATCAAGCTTCCCATTTTCTTTGCTGGATGCATATTATAAATATCTCTGCAACAAAACTTTGAATTCACTTTCCTTTGTTCAGCCTCCTCATCAGAATTCCTTCCCATAAATATTTAATGGAATCCTACCCACCTTTCAAAGTCAAATTTAGGTACTACCTTCTATTCATCTCAACAACCAGCTGAATTCTTTCTCTTTTCTGAACAGAACTGATTGTGCAGACTTGTGCCTCTTAGTCATAGTAAGTTCACTGAGAATTTGCACCATACTGAACTTAGTCTATGCCAGGAATTACTCCAAGTACATTACAGCAAGTCTATAAAGTAAGTGTGCTGTGATAATCCCCATTTTGTAGGCAGATAAAGTGAGCACAGAGAAGCTAAGTATTGACCTAAGGTTTTACAGCTAGTAAGAAGCTCAGCCAGGATATGAACAAAAGGACATGTTTTCAACCACTACACTGTCTACCTAAACTCTTTTTGTTTTAATGAGATATAGTTGACATATAATATTATATTTATTTTGATGTAACATAACAATTTGATATTTTTGCACATTCAAAATGATCACCATGGTAAATGCAGTTAACATGCCAAATTCTTAAACATTTAATGCCTTACCTTTTGCTGCCACAGACATCCCTAAAATTGTCACTTGAATCTTACACTGTATATTGATTTCTGTTTATCATACTAAGGGTCTCATCTTATTCAACTCTCTGTCTATTTCAACATAATGTCACTTATTGAAAAATAATTGATCCTTTGATTGACATAACTGGAACTTTTGAAACTTAATCTTGAACAAGAAAGTTCACTTCTAATCTGTCTTCTGTTTCCATGCTGTGAAGTTCATTTTCATGTTCACTGGTCAGGGTTCTGTGACTCCATCCACCAACCATGCTTCTTACTCTCTACACCAGAAATTAGGCTGAGGGAGAACTCCATGTTGCCCCTCATTTCAGCTGTCCCATTTCAGATTTGAAAGTTTTCTTACCTGTGAAGCAGTGATTAAAAATCTTCTTGTCCTTTTCTAGGTTGAGTTCTTTCACACCTTTTTCTATGTCTTTCATGGACAAATACAAGGCACTGAATAGAGATGAAAACAGACAGTGAGTGGGGACATTTCAGACTGCAGACTTCTCTTTGGGAGCAGCCACCATGGAGAGGCTGACCATGAGTACAAGTTTCCTCTTCCCAGGGGTTCCTGAGCCTCATCTTCCCAACAGATTATAAGTAATCTATTATAAGTAGTTTATATTTGACTTTAACTAGCTTATATTTGCAGAATTCTGTGGCATTCCCAGCATTCAACAGCACATACTAAGGTGGTATTACTGTCTCTTAAATGCACCAAGTTGTTGATTTAACCCCAGGTGCCTGAAATGGAGTGTTGAGCCCCAGTTAGGTGCTAAAGATTAAAGTTTCCAAGGGCCAGTTTTTCATACACATTTTAGATTTTTAAGCCTCCTCAGTTCTTTAAGTATCCTTCAAGAGACTATCTGGTATACTCACTTGCGTCCAAAAAAGTGAACATTTTGTTTAGACTTATCTCTTAGTCTAAAAATTATAAGGCTAAATAGTTCTCATGTTTTTCTTTGAAGTAGTAAAGATAGCCTTATCGGGGAAATCATAAGAACAACACAGAAGACCACTTTCATATATCCTGTGGTCCACAGAGCAAGAGTCTTATTCCCACATGGCTCTGACATCTGTGGTCAGAAATGTGGCCATGTGGCGAACCCACCCAGTGTTGCATTTAGACCAGGAGCCTCTCTGTGGGTCTTCACTGAAAACTTCCTTGGTGTTTGATCTCGCCAAGCTCAATGTGCAAAGTTCATTATACTTGACATGCCATCTCCTGTGTTAAGCTTGCAGAGGGATGTTTTGGTCCCCACGCAGGGACTCCCTGACCCAATTTTATAAAACAGCATCTTGTTGGACATGTTAGGCAGGTAATATAGAATTCTTCCTGACAGGGCTCTTGTTTAGGGTATGCTCAACATAACAGCAAAACTAGCAAAAAGTAAAGAGCCCCAAACAAAAGGGTTCATATGATAGGTGTCATGAAACATATAGGAAGAAAGAAACTTCCCCCACTACGCCCACCCACCAGGGCTGAATTTACCCTATGGGCCTCTGACAACATTCAGGCAACAACTATCATCTGCAAGTCCAAGTCAACCAACATCAGAGGCCATAAACCAGGCCAGAGCACAAATGGTTTCCGCACAGAATGAGCTTACACCTTGGTTGGCCTTTGGTGACTGAAAGTGTGAATGTAAACTTGCACTTAAAACCCTACATGTTTGGACATACAACCCCTGCCTTTTCCTACCTACTTACAGATCCTGAAGCTTTCTTTCAAAACTAACTTATTATGGGTACTTCATAAATGTAATGATGTTCTCTCTCTTTCTCCTCTTCTCCCCTCTCTGTCTCTCTCTCTGCCAAGGTTACACCAAATTAAGGGAATTTATACTCCATCAACCTTCTCTCCTCAACTGCTAGGCACTAGAGAAGCCACAATCACTCCCTCACACCCAAGTGAGCATCTTGCTTCACACACACGCTAGTATTGAGCTGGAAGTATAGATACAGCCATCAAAGGTGAGCAAAGCAAGCCCTGGAAGAGGATCTGTTAGATTTCCTCCAAAGGAAGACAAAAGAAAGGGTGAAGGAAAGGAAACATAGAAAATCACCCTAAGTCAATTGTTTCTGGTAGTCGAATAGACCTCCTGGTGGATTTCCTTGCAAACTTCTGGCCTCCTTCAATACATTTTATGGCCTTCTTGGTGTCCCGAACCCAGCCGTCTCTTTCCTCCAGGAAGGCTGCCTGGAAGAAGTGGTCCTGCTGCTTATTTGTAGTGATCTTGAACACAAACTAAAAATCAAAACACATCCCATTAGGAATAATTCCAGTCAAGAGGCGGAGGCCCTTTACCAAGCAGCAGTAACCCCGCCCTGTTCTGGAAGTGCTTGGCCACAAGAGACCCAAATGTCAAAAGTGGGTGATAGGCAGTGGTGAGAGGGACTGGCCCAGAGAGCACCATTCACACTATGGATTGTGGGCTCCACACAACTCAAAGGTCAGTGTCTGATGTGATATTTGTCATAGTCAGTGATGCCAACTCACCATCCTCTTGCCAAAGTCCTGACAAGGGCTGGTCAGAGTGCTTCCTTTCAGGGGAATCATTCCTTTGGGGCTGTTGTCACTTTTCTTCTTATAGAATTCAATTCCATCTTCTAACAATACAACCCACATGGGTTTCCAGGTGTTGAAAATGCTCCCCTGTAGTGACAATAAAAAAATTGGGTAACAGTGTTTTCAGGAAAGCAGACTTCAGGAGAAAAGGAACTGCCTTTCTTCCAGAACTTAAAAAAAAAAATTAGATAAAATGTGTGCATATCTATAATCATCCAAGAAGCCTCTTGTGGGCCATTACCAAGAGAATATAGCATAGACCTCTACTTTCTTTCTTGAGTATTTCAGGCTTATTTTCTGCTTTTTTGTCCATTGTGTTCAGTTCAATTCATGATGACAAATAGATTCTATCTCCAGGGTCAACTCAGACTGAGTTAGTTGTGGACACCAGAGGCTGGACTCACTGAGAAATTGTCACCGACCAATATTTATGTGTGCCATGGACATGGAGACCAAAAAATGGTGGATGCAAGCCACAGTTACTTCCATCCCTTAGTCTAACCAGAATTTATCTGAATAAAACTGACAAAAATCAACTCAGATGGCCATTTTTGTGTGCCAGCATGGCAATGCTGTGTGAAAATCACTTGCAAGATGATCTGTAATGCCAGAGTGAGGCCAACCCTGTTAATGTGGTCTTTAGAAAAATCCTTACTCAAGAAATTTTCAGTTTGGGTTAGTGCCAACTACCCCATTAGCAATAAATTAGCCATTCCAACTAGCTCAAGGACGTCTCTTACTTGTCTATATCTTGGGAAGACTTTGAAAAAAGAGGGGATCAGGATTCTCTTTGCCTCTCATCTTTGGACTCAAGATGTAGCTCTCTCATGTCTACCACAAGATAGAATTATCATCCTTGTCCCAACACATCCTTTTCTTATCTTAAATACAAACAGCCTCTATATAAAGGTCCAGTTGCCCACAAGGAAGACTGCAAAATGATAAATGCTTCTGTTTCCTTTCTTTGCTGTCCAAGTTACTAAAAAAAAAATTTCTAATTAAAGTACACTATCTCTTTTCTGTAGAAACAGAATAACTATCCATCTAAATACTGGATTAGTTCTCCTTTTCAACAAATGGGCAAGATCCACACTATGACAACATATGAAATAATTTCTGTCAATCAAATGTCTTTCTAGTTTATGTCTGTCTAAGCGAGAATCATACACAGAATATAATGGTCTCTCCAGGAAAATGAATAACTATAAGAAAGTGAAAATCAAAATCAACAAAAAACTATGAACCAGAAACACTCTATGGGGGGTGGAGGGCAGGGAGGGGAGGGATTGGGGTCAAAATAAGGGGGTTGCAATTGTACGGGGAATATAAAAATAAAATTTATTTAAAAAAAGAATATAATGGTCTCTTACAAAACAAGAAGAAAAATACAATCAATTTTTTATATGAGCAAAAGACTGGAAAAGGTACTTCATTAAGGAGGCTACCAAAAAGCATATGAATAAGTACTCATCATTATTCAACAGGGAAATGCAGATGAAAACCACAATGAGATGTCTCTCTGCACACCCATTAGAGGATCTAAAATTTAAAAAGATTGAAAGAGCAAGAGTTGGCAAGGATAGTAACTGGAACTCTTACACATGACTTGCAAGAGAGCAAAATGGAGCATCCAACATGGAAAACTGCGCAGAATGTACTGATTCTTAGAAGATATATTTTGAAATATTTAGAAGTGAGATAGTATGATGTTTATAACTACTCAAATATCTCAGCATGAATATAAGTGCATATATTTATATGTAAGTTTAGAAATAAGGAGGGAGAAAAACAAATGTGGCCATGTATGAAAAATTGATAAATCTACATAAATTGGACATAGCTTATTGTATTAGTTTTCCTATTTATTTTGTGGATTTGCAATTTTTCAAAATAATATGAAAAAATAATAAACAATACATGATACTACAATGTATTAAATTTTAGGATATCCTTTTGGGGAAATATATAAACAAGTCTACTTAAGAAAACTATTAAAATAATTGAAAATAATAAAAGATATGCATAGATCAGGCCTCCCCTGGTGGCGTAGCGTTTGAACGCTGGGCTGCGAAGCTACCCGCCAGCCTCTGCAGTGCCAGTTCAATTCCTGGCCACCGGCAAGGGAATCTGCACATGACACGCAGATCCCTCCTGCCGCTCCCACTGCTCCCCTCAGCAGTGTATTTCGTCAGTCTGCCTGTTCTGTTCCCCGCTCTGGCTGTGGTGAATTCTCTCACCCTCCCACGCTTCTGACTATACCCAGTGCTTGTATAAATAAATAAATAAATCTTTTTTAAAAAAAAGATATGCATAGATCTAGGGGTAAGATGTTGGGCTAGATGACTGCCAAAACCTCTAAGATTTACTTTCTATCTCAGACCTGGAGAAGATAAGTAACTGTCAGAGTCACTCAGAATTTTTGACCTTGGAATTGCAATAAATTGGGAGAGGTCAACCAGCACTGCATTCCTTCGAGGCAATGAAAGTAATGCTACTTCAGAGACAACTGCTTAAAATGAGTTTGTGGTTTCCTAATTAAGATGTAGCCTTAGGGGTATGTCAGCACTCAGAGGATATAGATTCAGGGTCATTAAGAGCATTGAGGACACATCAATTCTGCAAGCAAAAGAAAGCAGACACGTAAAGTAGAAACCTGGTCAAGGTTTGACAGTTGTAGTTAAGTTAGGATAATGGACACAGGACTGGTCTAACTCCTGTCAGTCAACACTGCAGCCCCAGCTTCTCCCTGGAATTACCTAACAGCCCCTCCCCTGCTTTGTATTTATCCCTTTCTGACCCTCCCTATTGGTGATCACCCAAGGACAAACTTGGAAGTGGGATCATGAAATGTCCATGCTAGAAAAGCATTTAGGATCATCTACCAAGACTCTCGTCATAAAGCTAAGGAAGCTGAAGCCCAATTAAGTAACTAGAACCCAGTATGTTTGAACAGTTAATGTGGAACTGGAACTAAAATCCCAGTTTCCTAATACCCAATTGTGTGTTTTTCCCTCCATTTCCTCTCAGAAGCCTTCTTCATTTTGTTTCTTTTTTTTTTTTAAAGATTTATTTATTTATACAAGAACTGGGGTACATACAGAGGCATGGGAGGGTGAGAGAATTCACCAGAGACAGAGCAGGGAACAGAACAAGCAGATGGACCAAAGACACTGCTGAGGGGAGCAAAGGACGAGACAGGAAAGGTCTGCCATGCCATGTGGGTATCTCCCTGGCTGGCCGGGAATCAAACCCACACTGCAGAGGCTGTGAACAGCTTCACAGTGCAGCACTCAAACCCACTGTGCCACTGGGGAGGCCCTCATTTTGTTTCTTATATAAAAAAAAATCTGGGATCTAAATCAATTTCATTAGGCCATTTAGTTAACTTATGTATAACCTCATATACATAGATATACACACATACACACATCTTTGCATGTATACATGTGTATATACAGAATTGTAAAATGTATCTATCACTAAAACATTATTTTATGATTATGTAAACAGACACACTCTATACATAAAATCATGAAACATGTTAATGTTTTTGGGCCTCCCTGGTGGCACAGCGGTTGAGCTCCGCTCTGCGAAGCTGTCCACAGCCTCTGCAGCGCTGGTTTGATTCCCTGCCGGCCAGGAAGAACCCCACATGGCACGGCAGACCTCTCCTGCCTCGTCCGCTGCTCCCCTCAGCAGTGTATTTGGTCAGTCTGCCTGTTTTGTTCCCTGCTCTGTCTCTGGTGAACTCTTTCACCCTCCCATGCTTCTGACCTGTACCCCAGTTATTGTATAAAATAAATAAATAAATCTTTAAAAAATAATGTTATATCATAAATAATATATTTTTATTATATATACGTTATCATAAATAATATATTTTATGATAATAATATTAACACATTTAATGATTTTATAGAGAAAGAAACAGGGATGAGCGCTGCGCTGTGAAGCCGTCTGCAGCCTCTGCAGTGAGGGTTCGATTCCCATTAGGCCGGGGAGATTCCCACATGGGTGTGGCAGACCTCTCCTGTCGTGCCCTCTGCTCCCCTCAGCAGTATATTTCAGTCAATCTGCCTGTTCTGCTCCCCACTCTGTCTCTGGTGAATTCTCTCACCCTCCCGTGGGCTTGTACCCCAGTTCCTGTATAAATAAAGATAAATCTTTAACAAAAGAAAAAAAGAAAGAGACAGACATAGCCAGAGAAAATCATGTCTGTTTTTTTCCCATTAGAGACCAAAACCTATCCAAGTACAGGTCATAATGGGCTGATTTTAGATGCTGACTCAGATTTCAATTTTCCTAGTGAATAATTTCATTATCACCGGAATGGCATAGCCTAGTGCATAAGAACATCACATTGCATGACACCAAAAGAATAATGTTTCACTTAAATAAGGGACCAGGAAAATGAATAACTATAAGAAAGTGAAAATCAAAATCAACAAAAAACTATGAACCAGAGACACTTTTAGGGGGGCGGGGGTGGGAGGGGAGGGATTGGGGTCAGAATGGGGGGGCTGCAATTGTATGGGGAATATAACAATAAAATTTATTAAAAAAAAAAAATAAAAAAAATTTAAAAAAAAAAAAAAAACATAAATCTAAAACTTAAAATTGAAAACAGTTAGAAACCAAATCATTAACTGTACATCAAGCTGATAAAATGACAATACAATGCAGAATAAAGGAATGTTTCAAGTGAAAAAAAAAAAAAAAAAAGAATAATGTTTCAGTGTGAGAGGTTTGCCTGTATATAAATTGAATTTCTGTACATTCAAAAGCCCTGCAACAACTGAAAAGCAAATAAAAATTTGTGGATATTTGTATATGCTCTATATAATTAAAGGTTAATATTCTTAATGTATTTAACTCTTTATAATCAATAAGATTGTATAATCTTATTTCCTATTTCTTATATATAAGAAATATACAATACTCTGCAATTTTTTTAAGTGAGAAAATAATATAGATAATTTTCATAAGGGGAAAATGCCCAGGTCCAATAAACATAAAAATGTACTATTTCCATAAATTTGAAGAATTGCAAATTAAAATTAAATAAGATGTAATCTTTTTCTTTAATA